AGTCAGGAAAGGCCCCAGCACCCCAGGCTGTCCCTGGGCTCCACACACCCTCATGGAGGGAGCTGACTGAGCATCCAGGAGAAGATGAGAAGCAGCAAGAAGGCCAAGGATCACAGGCTGCAGGAGATGGATCCCTGTTGCATGGGAAGAGGGTGGGGAGCTCATCCAGGATGAACCCTGCTCCCCTGAGCCCAGCCCCTTCCCTACCTGGGCTCAAACAAGGCAAGGCTGATCCAGACGAACCACAGACAGGGCTCAAGCTGGGAGCCAGGACGATGCTGCCACAGCGGGATGAGCTCCAGGCACCCACATAACAGACACCAGCCGAGGGCAGCGGGACAATGCAATCCAGGCACCAGCCTGGGCACTGCACCCTTCCGGGGCACAGCAAGACACCCCAGGGCCACTAAGACAGACGGTGACTCAGCAGCTGAGTCACGGCTGAGCCAGCACCCCGGGACAGGCCTGAGTCACAAGTGCCCCAGAGCAGAGACTGACTGGAGCATGACGGGAAGCTGCAGCCACGCTCACGGGCATCCTCCGGCGCAGAGACACTGCCTCTAAAAACCCAGTGCTCCATTTTGTCTGGAAACCTCCCTGTGCCCGACAAGCTTTGTGGTGGCAGCAAGGCCGGGCAGAGGCAGGCACACGGGGCAGCAGCCAGATGCCGTGGACCTGCTGTTGCGAAGGAAAACCAGCAGTAACAGGGTCTGGAAGGAGCGAGTGCAGCCTGGGAATCTGTCGGGAGAATCCTGGCAGAATGAGCAGGGGACAGGGCAGGGCCGTCCAGAGGCTGAGGCTACCTAAGTGTTTGGGAATGTTACCTCTCCAGCTGAGCCTGGGAACGGCCCCGCAAAGGAGAGCGTCGGGAGCTGGGGCTGGTCTGTTTGTGCAATATGTTAAAATCCAATAAGGGCATTATTCACAGAAAGAGGAATCCAGATCCCGGCGCTGCCAAGCCCTCCCTTTCAGCAGCATCCAAGCCGAACAAAGTGGAACGGGGGAGAGGAAATGCCTGGAAACAAGGCGCAGACGGGAGGTGACCGAGCCCGGCGCTGGCTCTGCCGGGCCGGTGCCGGGTCCCGGCGGCTCCCCGCGCTGCCACGTCCCTGCGCGGCGGGATCGGACTTGTGGGAGGCCGGGGCTCCCCGGGCCACCGGGGCCGCTCAGCGCGCAGCCCGGCCCAGCCCCGGCGGCTCCTCGCATCGCGCGGGGACCCGATGCCGGGCGCGGGGGCGACGGCTCCCGCGGGGCGGCGCGGAGGGAACGGACACAGCCGACGGGGGGACCGCGCCCGGCCGCGCATCTGCTCCCGCCGACAGCAGCTCCGGGGCGCGGAGCCCGCACCGCGCGGCGCTGCGGGCAGGTGCCGGGCCCGGGGAGGCTCTGCCCGCTCCCGCCCGCTCCTTCCCGCCCGCTCCGCGCCAACTTTCCGTCCCTTCCCCCGCCGCGAAGTTGGCGCGGGCCGGGCCGGGGCTCGGGGCTCCGTGGCCGCTGCCGGGGCTGCGGGGCCCCGCGGTGGACAAAGCGCGGGGCTCGGCGGGCGGCGCTCACCTACGTCCGCGTTGCAGAAGGCCTGCTGCGGGTGGATGGGCGAGCAGCTGCAGGCGTCGGCCGGGCGGGCCCTGCCGAGCAGCAGCACGAGCAGCCAGGCCAGCAGGCTGGGCAGCGCGGCGGGCATCGTGCGGCGGGGCTGCAGGCTCAGCGACCCGGCCGAGAAACCCGCATCCACCGCCGGGCCCGCCCGAGCCGCCGCCAGAAAGTTTGGGGCCGGCGGCCGCGGCGTTGCGAGCGCTGCTGTGGCCGCTGCTCCGCTGCCTTCTATGGGGGTGTTTTCTTCCTTCCCCGGCTGCCGCTCAGCCTCGCTTTTTAACGTGCTCCGGGGATTCGCTGCTCCTCCTCTGCATGGCGCAGGGCCAGCCCGGCTGCTCCCGCCCCTCCGCACGGCGCGGCTCCGCGATCGCCTCCCCCGGCCCGGCCCCCGCCCGCCCGCCGCCGCCCCGGGACCCGGTTCGCAGCTCTGGCTCCCGGCCTGCGCCGAGCGGAGCAGCGGATCGGGGGAAGGCAGCGATTTTGTCGGTGCCGAAGCGCGTCCTCCGCGCCTGTTCCCCCCTCGCCCTTCCTCCCCTCCACGGGCCGCAGCTCCAGCCCCACCTTAGCCCAGAACCTGTTGCGCGTCGTGGTACAGCCCCAGCAGAACCCCACAGGGCTGCTCGGTGCGATGGGGAGAGAAGCAGAAAGGTAAAAGTGAGAAAGGTTGAGACAAAGGTGGTTTAATAGATAAAGCAGAAGCCATGCACAAGCAAAGGAAACGGGCGGGTTCATCCACCACTTCCCATCGCAGGCAGGTGTCCAGCTATCCCCCACCCATCCTTCCATTGTATGTCAGTGATTTGGGAAGACAAATACCATCATTCCAAGCATCACCCCCTCGTTCTTCTCAGGCTTCATATGCTGAGGATGATGTTCCATGGTCTGGGATATCCCTGGGGTCAGTTGGGGTCAGCTGTCCCGGCTGTGTCCCCCCAAATCCTTGCGCACATCCAGCCTGCTCAGTGGTGGGCTGGCATGAGGTGGAAAAGGCCTTGACGCTGTGCAAGTGCTGCTCAGTGATAATGAAAACATCCCTGTGTTATTGACACCATTATCGGCACAAACCCCCAAAATCACCCCATGCAAACTACTGCAGGAAAAACAAACACAGCCCCAGTGAAACCAGCGCACTGTGACACTGTCACTGCACCAGGGTGCTGCCGGCATCACCAGACCTGTGCCCAGCGCTGCATGGGCACGCTGCATCTCTGCAGCGGTGCCTTTGGCCCTGCTCTGCCTCTGGGCAAGGGCACAGCATCTGACCCCACGAAGCCAGGTGCTGCTGGCACACATTGGCAGAGCGAGCCACCACCCCGGCCACAGAACCTGCTCCTGAGCCAGCCGCTCGCCACAGAGCTCCCTGGCCACGGGTACTCACGTTTGAGGGAGGTGCCAGAGCTGCTTGCCTCTGGGATAAGAAACAGCAGAAACGCGGGCAGCTGAACGCAGGCCAAGCCCTGCCAGAGCCTGCAGGGAACCTGTGGGAGGTGGCAGCTTCATGGCACTGCGATGTTGGATGGAACCTGGAGATGAACCCCGAGTCCCCAACATGTGGGGCATGCCCCCACATGCAGACTGTGGGGCACATGGTCTGCAGGTGCTCCGGGTCACCAGGAGTCCTGCCTGCTCAGCTGCAGGCCCTGGTGCTGCTCTGAGGGCCTGGGTCACTACGAAAAGGGAGCACGGGCAGGCAAGGCAGAAAGTGGGAGGGTCTGGGGACACAGGGGGCACAGTGTGGGGAGGCCCCACTTGCCGCGGGGTGCAGAGGTCCTGGCCTGGCGGAACAAGAAGGAGTCCACAGGGCAGGGACTGCCCCAGGGAACCAGATGGGTGCTGCAGTTGCCAGCCCCAGGCCAGGAGGACCATGGAGGAGCGAGGCCAGGAGCGGCCGTGCCGAGTAAAGTGCAGGCAAAGGTGAAGCGGCCAAGGTGGCCCGTGGCCAGTTGGCACCTGGTGCCCTGGGCTCGTCACACAGCCCCAGAGGCCACATGCCCAGGCCGGGGCTGGCTCTGCCCGTGATGCTGGGACAGGCAGTGCCCAGGGCAGCAGCAGAGGGAGCGCAGCCGCTCAGGCCCGGCAGCTGAGTCATAGTCAGGGCTAAACGAAAACACGTGTCCAGCCCCAGCTGCACTGCTCACCCTGCTCTGAGGTGCTGGACACTGTAAACAGGGGCGGGGGGGACACAGCCAGCCTGGGCTCTCGGGAGGGCCCTGTCCCCACCAGCTCGCCCCTGCCAAACCAAGGCAGCACCGCGGAGCCAAACGCCAACCCAGCGCATCGCTGGTGGTTGCTGTGAACCAGGGCTGGGGCTCGGCCAGGCCAAGTGTGTTGGGGTGGGAAGGAGGCCCCGCGCCTGCAGATGCCCATGTTCCGCACTTCTGGCTCCCAAGACATGTGCTAGTTCCTCCTGGGGGCCGCTGGCTGCCGCCGCGATTTCACAATGCTGCTGGTGAGCACGGGGCTGCTGCAAACACTTCCCAGCTGCTGTTGGCCCTGGGGAAGCCGACCTGGTGCTCCCAGCTCTCTCTCCTGTGCCGAGCACAGCAGCCCTTGGAGCAGGCTTGGCTGTGGCTGCCAGCTCCCAGCGGCTCCTCTCTAGGCCCCGGCTCTTCCTGGAGCTGACGGCTCTGGAGGCACCTCTGGAGCCTGAGCCACGTCTGAGAGAAGACGCATGACCAGGACCATGCACCTCCTTGGGGAGCAGGCTGGGAAAGGAGCAGGGGTGTGCCCCCAGAACGCACGGCCACAACTGTTGGCCCCATCAGTCACTTGAAGCCACTGCACTGGTGCTTCCCCCAGCCCTGGGCCAGAGCCCATGTGCCAGAACAGCAGTGCCAGGAGTGGCCCCAGTTCATGGTGCTTGAGGCCACCAGAAGCCACAGCACCACTGGCAGTGTGGTAACTGCTGAGTCCCCTCGGTGATGGCAGAGGAATACACCACAGCACCCCCCCCCCCCCCCCCCCCCCCCCCGAGACCTTCCCCAGGCAACAGTGCCCAGGGCTGGCCGTCACCTCCCCAGCTAACAGGAAAAGGGAAGTGAAATGGCTTTTGGGGAAAAGCCTGATGAAATCCCCCATGGCCATGACACTATAGATGGGCTTTGCCTGCCCTGGCTGTGACACCCTGCATAGCCCTGTCCCGTCTGTCACTCTGTGACCCCAGCAATCGTGCCTTCAGAAGTGCTCCTCCCCATAGGGATGCTTGTCCCTATGTCTCCAGTACATTCCTGGTGAGGTGCTGGGGACCTAGCTCAGAGGTTCCCCTGCAGGGTGGCCACAGCACAGGTTGCGAGAGTGGGTGGGCTGCAGGGCAGGGTCAGACCCACTCCCCCAGGTACCAGCACAGGCCCAGTGCTCTGGCTAGACACCCCCCTCCTCCAAGGGAGCACCACATAGTGGGACAATGCAGCAGAGCTGGGGCTCAACCTTCTCCTTCACTGCAAACCCAGCGCTTGGATGCCACCAGAGCCACAGAGGGCTTCTGTCACAATTAGGGGCTGGCACTAATGGCCTGACTGGGGATCCAACACATGGGGCCATGGCCGTGTCTGCTGGGCTGAAGCTCGCAGCAACCTGTGGTGGCAGTCCCTTGCCACCAGGTGCCACTGCCGAAACACTCGCACCACGCCTGCTGCAGCAGAGCAACGCTTTACAGGAGGCACCAAGGCCGAGGACAGAGCTGGGAGCAGAGCCTGGCGTCCCTCTGCTAAGCCCAGGGCTGCCCCGGCTGGCACTGGCCCCGCGCCCCTCCAGTCCAGTGAATCAGTCGTTAAATAAACTCAATGCCCTCGTATTTCACGCTCCCGATCCTGGTCTCAGGCAGGAGGAAGCGCCCGTCCAGCGTGAAGGCCATGATGTAGCTGGCGATCTTGCCATTGTCCTCCTCCGATTTCAGCGCCACGATGATCTGGTCATCCGTGTCTGGGATGAACTTGAAGGAGGAGAAGCCGTGAGTGGGGACCACGTCCCCCACGCGTCCCACCGTCACGTCCCCGAAGTCCTGCGTGGAGCTCAGCAGCAGGTTGGTGCCGCGCCGCTCGTCCGCCTTCTCATTGTAGCGCTCGTGGCTGGCGCGGCGTGGCAGGAAGAACCAGCGCTGCAGCGTGTCGCTCCAGGACACCGACTCATGGATCAGGTAACCTGCAGCAGGGAGCGGCGGCTGACGGCGTGGGGCACCTGCCAGGCTCCGAAGGACACCGCAGCGGGGAGGTCACAGCCCCATGCAGGCAACCACCGTGAACGTTTCCACCTCCTCCTGCCCACTGCCCATGCAGGAGTCCCCCCAGTCCCTCCCAGAGTGGGACAGGGGCACCCCAGCAATGGCCTCCTCTGCCCTGGGGCCTGGCTGCCAGGCACAGTGCTGCTGAGCCACCCTCCAGCTGCTTGTGCCAGACGGGAGAAAAGCCCTGGACAGGTTTTTTTTTCCCCATCAGGGCAAGGGGAGGGCTTTGGCATCCATCATCCCTCAAACCTCACACCGGTCCCAGTATTTATGGGGAGGGAGACCTCAGCCACGGAGGGTGCGGGACAGGGGGTGCCAGGAGGGAGCTTTGCTCAGTACCTGGGGGTTGGATGCCCGCTGCAGCCCTCAGCGCGTTGTAGTTCGCCACCCAGTTTTCATGGCCCACGTCGCCCTTGTAGCCAACGACCTTCACCCACTCTGGGTTCTCGTTCACCACCTCCCCTGTCGTCGTGGTCCACTCCTTGCCCAGTCCCCCCACGTAGAGGTGCTCGTCCTTCACTGCCAGCCACTCTGCCTTGAAGCCTGCAGTGGAGAGAACAGCATGAGCTGGGGCTCAGACAGCACATGGACATGGGACTGACACCCACTCCCCTGAACACCACATCAGACAGCTCAGTGCTGGGCAGAGCCTTCCCCCATGCAGCCAGCAGGTCCCCAGGCAGCAGCTGCCCCCAAGGCACAGAAAAAGTGCACCCGCCCCAGCAAGCTTCAGAGAGCCAAACTGCTCTGCGCCTGCAGGATGGGACGGGATGGAGGAGCTCACCTTTCCCCACTGTGCCATCCCCATCTGGGAGGATCACCCAGGGCACCACCTTGTTGCCCTCAATCTGATAAATCACTCCTGTCCGGTCATCCACGGCGTACAGCTTCCCGTTGAAGACAACCAGTTCGGAGAGCTCCATGCCCCTGCCCTTCTCAGCCAGGTGGGACTGCAGCATGCTCTCATCTTTGTCCCACTCCACTGTCACGCTGTCCCCGCTGTCTGACAGCACCAGGTAGCCCTTCTTCAGGTAACTGAACCACGTGTGCTCCTCAGAGCCCCGGGACTGTGTGTCCAGATCCGCAATGACTCCGATGCGGTAGCGCACACCCTCAGGGTTCCTCTGGGGTGGGGACAGCGGGTAGGTGTCATTGTAGCGGTCACCTGCCTGCAGGCTGAGCTGCCAGTTGTGAGGATTGGGCGGACCATGCCGTGCCGGGGAGGACCGATGCAGGCAGAAGAGCAGCAGCACAAACCCCACGCAGGCTGACGACAGCACGATGGCCTTCCAGCGGAGTCGGAAGCGGGGGTCAGCACCCTTGGTCATGGACGCGAGGACAGGCAGACCACCAACGCTGATCCGGAGGGGGCTCATAGACTCATCGCAGGGCGGGACGGGCATCAGACTGCGGGCGAGGAGAACCTGGTGAGAGGAAGGGAAGAAGCAAATCAGAGAGCCGGAGCCTGGCACTGCACTGAGCCTGGGGGGAGTAGAGCACAGCCATGAGGGAGCAGCGAGGGGCCTCATCCCCTCTCCTGCACCATGAGAAGGTGCTGCCACCTCACACAGGGAAGAGCCAGCACGCCAAGGGGCTGCTTTGCTGGTGGACCCACTCTCAACCCCTTCTCACCCCTGCTCTGCAGTTCCGGACCAGGGCAAGCCCTGGCGTGTTGGCAGATGCACATGGCCTGCTCAGCACCTCCACCTGCCCCAGGTCCGACGCAGCACAGGCAGGGAGCTGAGGCCACGCCAAGCCCCGAGACCTGTGCTGAGGTGCCCTGCTGAGCAATGTCCCTGCACAGCCCCGGCAGGAAGGAGGGTCCTCTCTGGCAGTGAGGCCAACCCTTGCTGCCTCCAAAGCAGCCACCGCGCCTGGTCCAGCTCCCAGGGCCCATGGGAACCAGCCCCACTGGCGAGCGTGTCCCCAGGCCCCACAGGGACACCGGGAGATACGTGGCAGCTCCACCCACACAGGATGCCAAAGCGTGAGCAGGAAGCGAAGCACCCGAGTACAAGGGACAAACACCCCGACCTGCCCAGCCTTAAAGTCACAGCAGCCCCTGCTTTCCCCCTGCCCATGGTCACAGCGTATCCTCGGGCACGACTCGTGTGCGGGTGCCCTCAGCCCACACCTCGCTGTGCCCAGGCACCAGCAGCTCCTCTCCCTGCCCTTTCTCTCTGTGCAGCGCAGGGGACGTGGCAGCTCCACGGAGCTCCTGCAGATGTCAAACACACCCCCCCCCCCCGGGGGCTGGAAGCCACCCCAACATCACCTGGGCCATGCAGCCCAGGGCAAGGACCCCCAGCCCGGGGCAGGACCCCAAAGGAGGGGTCCCCAGCTGCCAGCCCAGGGCTGTCCCCAAGGACCCGTCACCGCCGTGGTGGGGCTCCGGGCCTGGCGCTGGGCACGGGCTGTGCCGCAGGGCTCTCAATGTGCCTTTCAGCAGCCCGAGGTGCGAACAGAGGCTGCATTGAGCGCGGGGGGGGCGAGTCCCGGACAGGCGGGAGAACTCCCGGCCGTGGGAGAGCCGGACGGGACAGGGACGAACCCTGCGGGGACGGAGCACTCCCGGTCCCACTGCCCGGAGCGCCGGCCCCATCCCAGCACCTGCCCTGGGCACGGGCACGGACACGGGATCCCCGACCCCGCGAGCATGGACACGGGCCCCCAGGCCTCCCCGGCCACGGGCACCGGCACCTCCGGGCCCCACAGGCATGGACTCGGGAGCCCTGAGCCACCTCCCCGGGCGAGCTGCCGGGAGAACGGCACACCGCCCGGCCCGAGCGGGGCCTTGCTGGCCACCGCGCCCCTCCGCCGCAGGGCACAGCCTGAGGACAGCGACGCTCCCACCCGAGCGGGGGGCTCGGGGCGGCACAGCTCGGCAGGGCCCCGGTCCCGGTCCAAGCCCCTCGCCCCCCCCGGTCCCAGCTCACCGCGAACCCGCCCGCGCACAGCCGCTGCAGCCACCGCTACCCCACGGCCTACAGCTCCCGGCAGGCCCCGCGCGCCACGGCAGCCGGCAGCGGCCAAACCTCCTCGACGGAGCGAGAACTACGACTCCCAGCAGGCCCCGCGCGGCACCGCCCACCTCCTCCCCGTCCTCCCGGCCGCGGGGCCGCTGGGAGCTGCAGTCCGCCCCGTACCGGGCTCCGCTGCCCAGCCCCGGGTGTGCCCGTGGCGGGTGCCCGGCGGGCGGGACCCCGCCGCAGCCCGCAGTTCCTCCGCGCGCGCCCCGTGTCCCCCGGTACCGGGGTGCGGGGACGAGTCCGGGACACCCCCGTGTGCCCGTTGTCCGCGGCCGCCCGCGAAGGGCCGGTTCCCGGCTGGGGCTGGGCGAGCCCCGGTGCCCCTAGGGCTGGGAAGCGGCAGGTGGGTGTTCCGGAGCGGGGCAGGCTCCTGCCCCACAGAGCAGCCCGCAGGACCGGCCCCGTTGAAGCCCCCGTGCCGCCCCCTGCCCTCGGACCAGCGCCGGTCGTGGCTGCGGGCCCGGTGCTGGCAGTAGCTCCGGGAGCGCACATGGTTAACTCAGCTGGCGAGGGAGGGCTGCGCGCCCCGTTCCGCTCCTCCCGTCCCATCTTGTCCCATCCTGTCCCGTCCCGCTCCTCTCCGCCGCCTCCGCTTTCCAGAAAGTGCATTTCCGCCCGGGCCGAAGGAGGAAACGGGGCCGCGGGAGCGGGAGGCGGCGGAGCCGGCGGGGCGGTGCGGGGGGATGCTCTAGGGAAGGGACGGCAGCGCCGGGAGGAGCAGCCCTGCCCCGGAGGTAGGTTGGCGGCAGGCTCGGGGGGGCCCTGCAGGCTGGGGACCGGCGGCCCCCCTCCCTGTACCCATCTGCGGTGCCGCCAGCGGCAGGCGGGACCACTCAGGAGGCGGCTCTGCCTCATCAGGCCCATGGGTGCTCCAGGACACGTCCAGCGAGGGGGACCAGAAGCCCTCAAGTCTGGTCAGTTGAGCAGGGACCTTGACCTGGTGCCAATAGGTGGTGGGGACCACAGGGACCGTCCTGTGAGGGCACAGGCCGACCCACAGCACCATGTACCCAGAAAACCCATCCCCATGAGCAGTCAAACCCAGGGCTGAGCAGCCCCATGGCATGGCCAAGGGGACACGGTGGCTGCAAGCTGCAGTCAAGCACATATCACAGGTGCTGTGGGTGCTGGAGGGTCACAACCACGCCATGGTCCTTCACTCCCACCCTGCTGCCTGCTGGGTCTGCACTGCTTCGGTGGGCAAACAGCTCTGCAGCCATTCCAGCTGCTACAGCAAAAGGCGGGGGGTGAATCCCAGCAGCACAACCCCAGAGGTGTCCCGGCTCTGCTGCTGAGGCCTGGGGAGGGTGAGGTGAGCACACAGGTTCTGCTGAGCCCTCATCCCTCTCCCGGGGTTTGCTCTTGTTTCATCCTAGTCTTTACTGCCGCCTGGAATGTGTTTCAGGATGTTTTGGTTTGCAGCCCCTGAATTTAAATCCTCCAAACTGATCCTGGAGATCGTCCAACCCCAACAGGAAAGACAGTGTCCCTCCCACAGGACCGGGTATGCCATGCAGGCAGCTTCTGCCCCGTGTGCCTGCGAGGTGCAGAGGAGCCCCACATGCTTCTGGTGACGGCACCATGGCCATGGTGGCACTGTGCCAGTCCTATACACACACAGCGCAGCTGCCTTCATTTCCAGCCCTGTGGCAGCCTGGGAAGCTGCCTTTCTTGGTGGGAATTTCCTGGTGACGGATTTCTTCTCCTTGTGGAGCAGTTCCCTGCAAAGCTGTTTTCCCCAGGGTTGAGCCTGCTTTGGGTCCCAGGGAAATGTGTGTTTTGATAGTCCCAGAGCTGAGGGAGGGTCACAGGCTTCTCAAAACCTCACAGGCTGCGTGCCATGGTCTCTGGCATGTGGCTGACAGAGCTGGAGGCCAAGCAGGGTAAAGAGAGCTAGGTCTAAGGCTATGCAGGATGGTATCTGCTCACAAGCCCCTGACTGGCCCCCTCTGTGCTTCTGTCCATGGATCTGCTTCTCCCCTGCCCGCAGAGCTGAGCATGGGCAGGCACCAGGCCAGGGAAGATGCAGTGCCAGGATGCCCATGCATGGTACCCAGAGCCCTGCTGTCCTCATACCCAGCGGCAGGACCCCAGACAGGATAAGACAGAGGCAGCAGGCACACAGGCACCTGGGAAGCATGTGAGGGGACAGGCCCTTCACAGAGGGTGCGAGCAGTGGGAAAGCCCTTTGGAGCCTTTCCCCATCCCTCTGCCTCTTCCCAGCCCCAGCGCAGGTGACTCATAAGCCTGGCATCCATCCTGGCCTCGAACGCCCTCCACACCCACTGCTGCAGCAAGCTGGGTCCCCGGACACCAGCCACACACCTGGGAACATCAGTAACCTGCCCTGAGGCTGCCAGCCTGGCCATTACTGACCAGCGACCCTGGTGCTCACAGAGGGGGTGTTCACCAAAACAACAGGGTTCTGCCCCAGGAGCCTTCCCGTGGCCCTGGCCTGTCCCCAGAACACAGGCTGTGCTGCGCAGGGCCCTGTGCCCATCCGGTTGCACCCTGGCACTGCCTCAGATGCCAACCGGCTGGGAAGCGCCACATGGTGTTTGGCCATGGCTGTCCTGGCGCCTTTGGGGCTGCAGGGTGAGGTGCTGGTGCCTGGCCCTGTGCTAGGAGCGGATGCAGCTGCGATAAGGCAGGGAAGGGCAACGGAGCTGCCGGGGTTGGGCCACAGTGCCACCGGCTGCTGATAAATACAAATATTAGTTCTGGCCCCATGCAGGATGTGGGCTCCCAGGGAGGTTTCTCTCCATGTGGGCCGGCTCCCAGCCCACATCCATGTCTACAAAGAGGTGGGTCTTATCTCTGTGCAATCCTCAGAGCAAGGGCTGGCAGGTCCTGGGGCACAGGAGCCCCTTTCACAGGGTCTGTGCAGCCTGTGCTGTGGACACCCTCGCATGCTGTGGGGCAGGAGGGATGCACCACCCTCCCTGGGGTTGGCGTCCCACACACAGTCAGGGCTGCACCCGACATTCTCCCATGCCATTTGGAGCTGCCTGTAGCTTTTATTTCGGATGCTGACATCCCACGTTGCTGCTCTTGGCCATTCATGGGAGGCATCTGAAGCTGGGCTGGGTAGGAGCAGCAGCGCTTGGACAGTCGGACAGAGGCTGCTGCTCTGCTGCACCCTTGCCTTCCCAGGGAATTCCCTCTTCCGTGCATGCCAGGGGCTGCATGGCCTCATGTCTCAGCCTGTTTGCGAGCCCAGAGACCCTGCACTGCCCAAACATGGGTCTCCCAGGTGCTCACTGGAGCATCACAGAGGTACATGGCCCAGCTAATGCAGCTATTTAGGTACAGATGGTCCCTGCAGCTGCAAGGGATGCAGTGACCATGCTGCAGGCTCTGCTGGGGAGGAGGCTGCTGGAGAGCAGTGTTGTGGGGCTGGAAGGGCAGCTGTGCCCTCCCTAGGGCTGTGCCATTCTCTGGGTCCTGTGCTGGGGACAGCGCAGGGCACAGCCAGGGCCAGGCAGCCCTGCAGCATCCCTCACTGTCCCCTGAGCCAGCCTTGGCACCTCACAGGGCACTGCTATGGAGGGGCTCTGGGTGCCTGGTGTCCTGCTGCTTTCTTGCCTGCTGCTGCCCTCCCCTGTGGGCAGCCAGACCAGACCCAGCCCTGACCGGCGTTTGGAGATGGACCCCACAGAGGCACCGTCCCAGCACCACGCTGCCAGGTGAGGGGATCCCAGGGGAAGGGCGTTTGGCAGTGGGGCCCACGGCAGTCCTGGCACTGCAAAGGGCCTCAGCCCCCCATAGCTCCCCATTGCTCTTTGCTTTCTGCCCTCCACAGGGCCATGCAGGAGCAGCAGGTCAGCAGTGCCCAGGAGATGCCCCTGCAGCGCCGCTGCGTTCACTGCTGTGAGCAGCCCAGCCAGCGCATTTACCACCCCCAGTACCAGCCCCTGCCTCAGATCAACATGACTATCCTGAAAGGTGAGGGCTGGTGGGGAACCCCCCACTGCTGCATCATTGCCCACAGCCAAATCTGCCACCCAGGCATTCCATGCTGCTGGGTACCACCAGCCTGGCCTGGCAGCCCCATTGCAGTGCAGAGCTGTGCTCCCAGTGCTGGCCTCGCATGAACTGGTGCCCAGGGAGGGGGTTGGGGGATCCCTGCTGCCCTCGTCCCTTTCTGTCACACAAAGGCACTGGGTTTAGGTGTGTTGCTCACCTCTGAACACGCACCCGTCCCTCCTGCTTTGGCCAGGTGAGAAGGGGGACCGCGGTGAGCGAGGCATGCAGGGCAAGTTTGGCAAGACAGGGGTGGCCGGCAGCAGGGGCCACGCAGGGCCCAAGGGACAGAAGGGCAGCATGGGCGCCCCGGGGGAGCGCTGCAAGAGCCACTACGCTGCCTTCTCGGTGGGCCGCAAGAAACCCCTACACAGCAACGACTACTACCAGACCCTCATCTTCGACACGGAGTTCGTCAACCTCTATGACCACTTCAGCATGTTCACGGGCAAGTTTTACTGCTACGTCCCTGGAATCTACTACTTCAGCCTCAACGTGCACACCTGGAACCAGAAGGAGACATACCTGCACATCATGCGCAATGGGGCGGAGGTGGTGATCCTCTATGCCCAGGTGAGCGACCGCAGCATCATGCAGAGCCAAAGCGTCATGCTAGATCTGCAGGAGCAGGATGAGGTCTGGGTGCGGCTCTACAAGGGTGAGCGTGAGAATGCAGTCTTCAGTGACGAGTACGACACCTACATCACCTTCAGCGGGCACCTCATCAAGTACAGCGGAGACCCCTGAGCGCTCGGTGGCTCCCGCTCCTCCTGCCCTGGGCAGGTGTCCGAGGAGCCCCTGCCATCCCTCACCCTGGGCATGCCAGCACTGTTAGCTGTTTGCCCATACACGTGCCACTAACCCCAGCAGCCGCACAGTGTGTGAGTATCCCCAGCGCTGCTCCTTGAGGCCCATCAAATGAACCTTGAGGAGTCAGAGGCATTTCCAGCCTCTGCTGCACTTGAGGCCGGGAAGCAGCTGTGCACTGGGTGCGGCCAGGGAGCTCATCCCTTCTTGTGCCTGCTCCAGAGCTGGGTTTGCTGGGACACAGCCTGAGCTGACACCAGCAGAACGGGTTTGACTGCTGGTGCCCTGGAGCAAAGCAGCGCAGACATGTGCACCATGTTCCTCCCTTGTTCCCTTGTACTGTGCCACACTCTGCAGGCATCTAATCCTGGAAGAAGTCAGAGGGTGCTCAGCACCCAGCAGGGAAGGCAATAAAACCACTAAGGGCCCCTCTTCCTTTTCACAGAGCTGGGTACCAGCCGCATGGCCGTCGGGCACCCTCTGAGCTAACACTTCCCCCATGCAGATTGCAGCAGTGCCCCTCCACAAGCCCCATCACAGCTCCTCCCACCGCGGCCTCTGCTTGGTACCAGCACTGCTGGGGGGTGCTGGCTCCCCGGGCAGCCCTGGGTGCGGGGCCTTTGGCCTGAGCCGCTTCCTCTTCAGTTACGTTATCTGCTGCCCAGACTTTGTATTTCTGTAGATGCAAGAGCAGAGTGGGGCCCAGGGCAACATCCTGGCCCCCTCCCTCTGTACAGCTTTAAACATTAAACACCCCATGATTTCCAGTTCTACTCACACTTTCTGTGTGTCCTCTTGCTTTGCGTGCGGAGGCTCCAAGTGGCTCAGGGCAAGTTCCTGCTCCCACAGTGCAGGGGCTCCCTGAGAGTCATGGGCTGTCCTGGGGCTGCTGTGCTGGTGGTGGAGCAGGAAGGGCAGAGCATCCCTGGAGAGCTGGGGTGGCCGGAGCCAGGCTCTAAGGTGCAGCAGCTTTCTGAGGACTGGGAGCTGAGCACAGTAACAGACCCATGAGCAGAGCAGGCTGGGGGTGATGGTTGGGTTTACCAAGAGTCCAGATGATCTGTGAAGTACCTGGTGATGAGGCAGGTCTGAGGGCAAACTGTGGGTCAGGGGCTGGATCTGTGGTTGAGCAGAGCAGAGCTACAGCTGAAGACCACCATCCTCCTATCACAGCAAGGGAAAGAAGAAATGCTCAGGGCTGAGCTTAAATAGCGCTCCATCCCCAGGGGTGGGTGGTGAGTGGGGTCCAGGTGAGGCTGGTCATTCCATCAAGGGCTGCTGGTGCCTCAGCCCCAGTGCTGCTGTCCCTGTGGGGCTGGCAGAGACCCTGCTCATGGCCCAGCCCCATGGGGGGGGCAAAGCCCCACAGCATTAGTAGGCCCCAGGCAGGACCGGTGCTGCTGGTACTGCTGGCACACGGCATGAGAGGAGGGAAAGGCTGCCTCATGGGATGCCCACCAGCACAGGTACCAGCTCTGTTCCAGCTTGTACAGTGGGACTTGCTCTAGGACAAATGTCGCATCCTGGGATACATATCCCATCCCAGGACACACAGTACATCTGCAGACACATAATCCTGTTCCAGCACACACAGCCCGTATCGGGACACACGTCCCCTGTCAGCACACACAGCCTGTACCGGGACACACGTCCCCTGTCAGCACACACAGCCCGTACCGGGACACACGTCCCCTGTCAGCACACACAGCCCATAGCGGGACACACGTCCCCTGTCAGCACACACAGCCCGTAGCGGGACACACGTCCCCTGTCAGCACACACAGCCCGTACCGGGACACACGTCCCCTGTCAGCACACACAGCCCGTACCGGGACACACGTCCCCTGTCAGCACACACAGCCCATAGCGGGACACACGTCCCCTGTCAGCACACACAGCCCGTACCGGGACACACGTCCCCTGTCAGCACACACAGCCCGTACCGGGACACACGTCCCCTGTCAGCACACACAGCCCATAGCGGGACACACGTCCCCTGTCAGCACACACAGCCCGTACCGGGACACACGTCCCCTGTCAGCACACACAGCCCGTACCGGGACACACGTCCCCTGTCAGCACACACAGCCCGTACCGGGACACACGTCCCCTGTCAGCACACACAGCCCGTACCGGGACACACGTCCCCTGTCAGCACACACAGCCCGTACCGGGACACACGTCCCCTGCCAGCACACACAGCCCGTACCGGGACACACGTCCCCTGTCAGCACACACAGCCCGTACCGGGACACACGTCCCCTGTCAGCACACACAGCCCGTACCGGGACACACGTCCCCTGTCAGCACACACAGCCCGTACCGGGACACACGTCCCCTGTCAGCACACACAGCCCGTACCGGGACACAAGCCCCATCCCGGGCCACTCGCTCCACCCCTGGACAGGGGCGGGCGCTGGGGCCGGGGGCGGGCGGAGCTCCTTCGGCCGCGCCTCCGGCAGAGCGGGGCCGGGCGGCGGCGGGCGGCAGCGGAGCGGCGGCAGCGGTAGCGCCATGGCGGAGGCGCAGGACGGGCCCGGGCGGCGCGGCAAGAGGCCGGGGGACGGGGAGGAGGAGCCGGGCGAGGAGGAGCGGGCCGGGCGGCGGCGGCGGAGGTGGGCGGTGGGATCGGGACCGGGATCGGGCCGGGGATCGGGATCGGGATCGGGGCAGGGACCGAGCTCCGGGCCGGTCTCGGCGGGCGCTGGCCGCGGTGCTGGCCCGGCCCGGCGGTGGGTGGCTCTGGCGCTGTCCGTCCCTCACCTCCTGCCCGGGCAGCTTCCAGCCGGCGGCGGAGTCCCGGGGAGCCACGGTCCTGCACGATACCATCAGCACCCGCCCGCAGCCCCTGCCAGGTGAGGCAGCACCCCCGACCCGCGCTGCGCTGCTGCTGGTGCCGGTACCGAGCCGCCCGGGCAGCGCTTCCCGCTGACCCCGTCCTCTGTCCCCCCCCGCCCCAGCGAGGCACTTTGACACCAAGACAACAGAGCCCGTCAGCTTCTTCTTGTCTGGCCTGGAGGAGCTGCTGTCCTGGCAGCCCGATGGCAACGACGACTTCAACATCTGCACTGTGCAGCTGGCCAAGCGCCAGCCCCCGCTCCACAGCAAGAGGCCCCGGACACTGGTGTGCCACGACATGCGTGGCGGGTACCTGGAGGACAGGTACATGCTGGGTGGAGGGGACGTGGCAGGGAGGCCCAGCATCTCAAACCTGTTCTATTTCTGCTTGATTTGTTTCCCACGGGCAGGGACGGAGGGGTTTGGGGATGGAGCACCATGACCTTGCTCAGGCCAGCCCTAGCTGGGGTCTGTGGGGTAACTCAGTGCTACAGCTCTGTGCAGCTCCTGGGCTGTGAGTCAGGCTCCTGCCCAGCCGCGCAGCCGTTGCCGGCGTCCTCCTCGCCGTGCCCAACCCTCCTCTTGCTGCCGCTGCAGGTTCATCCAGGGTTCAGCCACACGCAACCCCTACGTCTTCTACCACTGGCGGTACATCGACATCTTCGTCTACTTCAGCCACCGCACTGTCACTATCCCACCCGTGTGCTGGACCAACACGGCGCACCGGAATGGCGTCCTGGTGCTGGGTGAGGCAGGGCCAGCTGCAGGGCTGGAAGCTGCAGGACCAGGCCTGCGGGAGCCCTGGGCATGCAGTGACTTTGCTGAGGTGCGTGGCTGACGCTGGTCTCACCATGTCCCCAGGCACGTTCATCACGGAGTGGACGGATGGGGAGAAGCTGTGCGAGTCCTTCCTGGCTGGCGGGGAAGAGGCATTCCGTGCCGTGAGCGAGCAGCTGGCGCGCATTGCCCAGCACTACCGCTTTGATGGCTGGCTGGTCAACATGGAGAACACGCTGAGTGTGAGCTGTGGTCCCCTGCCCATCCCCGGTGCCCGGCTGTCCTCACTGCCCCATGCTGACCTGGCTCTGCTCTCTCCTGCAGGCGGCAGCGGTGAAGAACCTGCCCCCCTTCCTGCAGCACTTGACCGCACAGGTTCACAGTGCCGTGCCTGGGGGCCTGGTGATCTGGTATGACAGTGTCCTGCAGAATGGCACGCTGAAGTGGCAGAATGAGCTGAACCAGGACAATAGGTGAGGCCAGGTCCTGCCCCATCACTTTGTCTGGGTGGAACTGACACTGGGTAGGGGCTGAGCCCACCCCAAACCCAGGGCGCAGCACATGGCCTGCACAGGCCCTGGAGGGGTGGTCTGCGGGAACTTGCACTGACCCTCGTCCACAGGGTGTTCTTTGATGCTTGTGATGGGCTGTTCACCAACTACAACTGGAAGGAAGAGCACCTGGAGCGCACGCGTGCGCTGGCCGGCCCGCGCCAAACTGATGTCTATGTTGGCATCGATGTCTTCGCCCGTGGTGATGTGATCAGTGGTGGCTTTGACACCAACAAGGTGGGTGTGCCGGGACCCTCTGCCTCCCCCAGTGCAGGGCTGCCTGTCCCATGCTGCTCAGTGCTTGTCCCTGCAGTCGCTGCGCCTGATCCGCCAGCACGGCCTCTCCGCTGCTGTCTTCGCTCCCGGCTGGGTCTACGAGCACCTGGGCGAGGAAAACTTCCTGCGCAATGAGAACAAGTGAGGGTGGCTCAGAGCGGGAGGGAGGAGAGGGGAGATGCGGCCAGAGCACTCCGGGATGCAGGGCAGTGGGATGGGGCTGCAGGAGACCACGGCTGCTGTCCAGGATGGGCTGGTGAGGCCGTGCTGGGGCAGTGGCCGTAGCTGGGGGTCTCTGCTCTGATCCATGCCTTTCCCTCCAGGTTCTGGGGCTTGCTGGCTGAGTACCTGCTCACACACAGCGTCTGCACTCTGCCCCTTGCCACCTCCTTCAGCCTGGGCATGGGCACCAGCAGGTTCCTGGATGGGAAGGTGGGTGTGGGGTGATTATTTGGCTCCAGCTGTGCAGGGGTGGGCTGTGCAGGGGGGACCCTTCTCCCGGCTCCCCACCCAGCCCAGCTTGCCCTGTCCTGCAGGTGGAAGAGGCCGGGCCCTGGTATGACCTGAGTGCACAGGAGATCCAGCCCCTCTACCCGGAGCAGGAAGGCAGGCTGAGCACAAGCTGCTGCCTGCAGGATGCCTGGTGTGGTGGCAGCTCTCTGAGGCTGCAGGGGATCATCCCTGCCGGCGAGGAGCATGTGGCCATCCGGTGAGCTGCGGGTGAAGACCCTCACCACCTTCTCAGTGCTGGGCTGGCATGGCATGTTGCACGTGGTGAGCGTGCTGCAGGGCTCTGCCTGCACTGCCCAGCAGACCTAACCGGATGCATCTTCTCTGTCTCTCTCCTCTCTCTCTCTCTGTCTCTCTCTGGGTGGATTTGGGGTCATCAGCCTTTTCTCTTTGCAGATGCCGGCGCCCCCCAAGCTCTTCCTGACCTTGCTCTACAAGCTGGAGGGGCCGCACACCGAGTTTACTGTTGCGCTGGAGCTCACCACCTGGGACTCGGGGACCTGCTATGAGGGCAATGTCACCTCCCTGCCCGGTGAGGACCCTACCCCTTCCCATGCTCTCTGTAGCGAGCACCCACTGCATGGTGGTGGCATGGGACCATGGGGGCATGGGACCAGCTCAGCCCCTCACCCCCCTGGTCCCACTCCCTCCGATAGAGCCCAGCGGCCGTCATCACCCCCGGTTCCTCTCGGCACCACCGCCCGGCCTCGCCAAGCTGCTTGCCTCCTGCAACAGTGGCTCCCATGGCTGGACCAGCCGGTGAGTGCGCCGCTGGCACCGTGTGCCCATGGGTAGGCATAGGCACCCCAGGGCTCCCCTGGCACCGTGCCTTCTCTGCCCCTTTGCTGTCAGGTGCTATGAGCTGGATCTTCACGACTGCAGCCTGCGAGACCTCTCCCTGCTCGTGTCCCGCCAGCAGCCCAGCCCACAGGAGATGCCCTTCTCCTGCCTCCTCGGGGAGGTCCGGGTGAGTGCCTGCCCTGCTGCTCGCGGAGCTCGCCGGTGCTGCCCCACCTCCGCCTCTCATGGAGCCGCGGTTCCCTCGGCAGGTGCTGGATGCGGCCAGCGTGGCGGCCGCCCCGCCGCAGATACAGAGCCTGTTGGCCTCGCAGCTCTGGTGGCAGGAGGGCCCCACGGCGGAGCAGCTCTCGCTCAGCCTCACCCTGCGCTGGACCTTCCCGCCCGGCCAGGCCAGCTGGTTCCGCGTCTTCAGCCAGGGCGCCCGCTGCCGCCAGGGCCAGACGGCGCCGCAGCTCCTGGGGCTGGCGCACTCCTGCCTGTACCGCGCCGTGGGGCTGGCGGTGCCGCGGCCGGCGGCCGGGCAGTCCTGCCGCCTGGAGCTGCTGGTGGAGCCGGTGCTGCGCAACGAGCTGCCCGTGGACCCGCAGCTCTGGGGGCGGCTGGTGTTGATCTACTCTGCACCAGCCACGGGCACCAGCAGAGATGGGCATTAAAAGCAAACGTGGTGCGGCCCCATGTCTGTGTCTCCTCTGTGCTGGTGGGGCGGCTGTGGGCTCAGCGGGTGGAGGCTGCATCTCATAGAACCATGGAACGGCTTAGGTCAGAAAGGACCTCGAGATCACGCAGTTCCAACCCCCTGCCGTGGGCAGGGACACCTCACACTAGACCATGTCGCCCGAGGCTCTGTCCAGCCTGGCCTTGAACACTGCCGGGGATGGAGCATTCACCAGTTCCCTGGGCAACCTGTGACAGGGCCTCACCACCCTCGCAGTAAAGAACTTCTTCCTTACATCTACCCTGAACTTCCCGTGTTTCAGTTTAAACCCATCACCCCTTGTCCCGTCGCTACAGTCCCTGATGAAGAGTCCCTCCCTGGCATCCTTGTACGCCAACTGATTTGGTGGCTCCCTCTTCTCCCATCACCATGGCTGGGCTCAGCCCTCACAGCTGGGTGCTGCCCAGGGCCCCCCAGCTCCTGCCCGGGGACACCTGCCCTGAGATCTCTCCTAGCCCCACATCCCCTCACCTCGGGAGCAGCCTGGTGCAGGTGCGGAGCTGCCAGCAACAGCTCTGCTGCCACGCTCGGCGCTGGGGGCTGCACCATCCGCCATGGCCCTGCCCGCGCCGCCGCTCGGGGCTGGCCTGCAGCACTCCCTCCATGGCCGCTGCGGAGAAGGAGAGAAAATTTATCGCAGCAATTATTTCCTCACAGTCTGGTGAGCAAGCAATTAGCAGGCAGGGCGCAGGAGCGCGCCACGCAGCGGGGTCACCCATCCCCAGCTCCCCCGAGCACCGGCCCCGGCCCACAAACAATGCTGGCTCCTGGTCAGGAAAATTAATATGTCAGCAGTTAAGATGCTGCTCCGCGGTGGGGACTCGCTCTGACATGAATTATCTGAGGCTTGAAAAACGAAGGGCTCAGCACAGCCAGCGGTGAGCTCCTGCTGTGCCTGCATCCCGCTCCCCGCTCCTTCACTGTGGCAAACCCACCCCACCGGGTTCCCCCCTTTGCCTGCCCAGAGGTGTGCCAGGACAGCCAGATCCGCCGTGCCAGCCATGGCCCTGCGCCAGTCAAAACCTGAGTCGCCCTGGTTGAAGAAAGAAATCTTTATTAATAATTTCAATAATAATAATAATAATAATAATAATCCTTGTAATAATAATAATAATAATACTGTTTATTAGAATGGTCACACCTTTGAAGCATACAGGATGGGCAAGTGCCAGCCTGCTCGCCGGCGGCCGGCGCAGGGGTTGCTGTAAGGAAGAAGCCAGTACAGCGGTGGAAGGAGCTTTGTACAGGGCAGGGGCATGGGGCCGGGGCGGCCGGGGCTATGTACACTGGGAATAGAAAAGGGGGAGCTCGTTGCTGGAGCGTTGGGGTGTCTGCAGACTATAAAGTGAGGTTTGAGGAGTGGTGGTGCCGTGGGGGGCCGAGCGCGAGGCCGGCGGGATGGGGCTGCACCCTGGGTGGGCTCTGACCCAGTGTGCCGGCTGCTGCAGACCGAGCCCGGGGCTCAGGCTGGTCCCCACGGGCGATGCCAGTCTGGTCCTGGGCGATGCAATGGCCGAGACCCCGCTCCGAGGGCTGGCAGGGTCCCACTGGCCTGGGCAGGGATGGGGAGCCAGGAGCACGTCCCGTGCCACGCAGCAGGCAGGAGCGGGAGCAGGGTCGGGGCATTCCTATCGGAGCCCCAGGGGATGGGAGGGGAAGGGGATCACAAGCGAGTTGCAAGAAGCTCCTCTTAACAAAAGTTCCCTTTAAAAGGCAGAGGCTGGTCCCCTGCAACGCCCAGCGCCTCAGCAAAGCGGCTCGGCGCGGGAGCCGAGGCCTCGCACACTCGACACGCTGATGACCGGCAGCTCAGGAAGCACGAGGCTGGATTCCCACCCCAGCACAGTCCCGGAGCCGGGGCTCAAGGAAGACGTGGTGCCAGGCGCCGTGGCCCCTCCGGACACCCCGGCTCGGCCTGTGCCGGCTCCCCCTCCGTGCGACGGGCTCAGGGCGAGAGGGGCCCCTCCGGTGTGTCCGTGCGTCCAACCGTGCTCGCCGCGGGCTCCGCCGGGACTCCTCGCGCGGGGCGTGCGGACATTTGGGGCTTTCACGTGGCTGCTGCCGCTTTGCCTTTTTTTTTTATTATTTTTTATTTTTGTTGCTTTGCTTTTGATTTTTTTTATTTTTCATTTTTTGGGGTGTGTGGGTGGATTTTTTGCCCTTCCTGGTCCCAGAAGGAAACAGCGGCGGTTTCACTACAACAGAAACAGAGAGGCAGGTCTTTCACTGGAGCCGCGCGTGGGCAGCCTGGCCGGGGCCATGCTGATGCCATCCCGGCCCCCCTAGCCCCACACTGCGCCCCAGCCCGGCTCAGCCCCTGAACGTGCAGCAGCCCCTGCTGGCTCCTCTCTTTCCTATGCCCCTCGGGCTGCCGTAGGCACCGTGCCCCCCGTGCCTGCACGAGCATCCCCTCGGCTTTGCAGGCGGATAAGCCCTCTGCACCCCAGCAAGGGCAGTGCCTGCCCGGGGCTCAGGTCAGGGTGAAGCCACACGAGGACCCCACAACCCCCCAGGCTCTGGGCTGGGGGTGCTACCAGGGCCGAGGGCTGGCCCTGCTCCCCATGAACCCCAGGGATGCAGGGACAGGAGCTGCCCCATGTCCCTGCAGGCAGATGATGCAGGAGACCCGGGCAGGCGACAGGGTGGAGCAGCTCGAGGTGACCCTATGGCCTGTGGGCACCGCGGCTCAGGGGAGCCTGGCCGTGCCCCAGCCCGGGCACCCCGTGGTTCCTCCAGAGCCTCGGCCGTGGCTCTGGCTGCCTGGTTTGGTTTGGTGCTAGTGAGCAGTCAGTGTTAGTGGTGGGAGGGGCTGTGTCTGTCTTGCTAGTAGGGAGTGAAGCGGCTGTACCCTCCTCGGTATAGACTAGCCTGCAACATCAAAGATGAAAAAAAAGCCAATCAGTATTTGAGAGAGAGGCAGAGCCCAGTTCTTCCTTTCCTTTCCTTTTCCTTTTGGTTTTCACTTTTTTTTTTCTTTTTTTTTCCCAAATGACACCAAATCACTTCTGTCCTTGGGATGTGAGGGGCAGGCAGGGCTGAGGGGGCCCGGTGCTGCCCAGGCTCCAGCACGGCTGTGGGTGCTGCCTTGGTGCCGTGCATGGGCAGAGGCTGCAGGGTGCCCCCCGCATGGCAGCACCGTGGCCAGGCTGCTCCCACCTTCAGTGACTGCGGAGCCCTTCCCCATCCCCATCCCCATTCTGCACATCCCATGGGACAGCGGGGCCACTGCCCCTTGCTACCAGCTGCTTGGGTACCAAGGAGTGCCGAGGGGTGCTGAGGGGTGCTCGGCAACCTGGCCCCAGCCATGGGGTTAAAAAAAAGGAAGAAAAAGAGTGGTTGGCTTTGAGATCCCCCATGTGAGTGGGATTTTTCATCTTTGATGCTGGTTGTGAAGCTAGCCGAGAGCCGTGGGCTGCAGGCACCAGTGCACATGCATGCTCCCTGGCACAGGGATAAGAAAGGGGGTCCTGGTCCCTGGACAAGGCTTCGGGGGCAGCTGGGTCCCCCAGAAGCAATGTTTGTGGGCAGGAGAGTGTGGGACTGCCACCAGCTGGGTGTAATGGGAAACGTGGGGTGAAGGGTGGGGCTGGGGGTCATCCTCTCTTGTGGCCCTGCTTGTGCACAGAGCCAGGCAGGGGCTGTGCTGCTCCTGCCACCAGCTCTGGGATCCCCATCCTGCACCCCACATGCAGGGCTGCCCCGCACCCTCTCAGCGCCTGCCCCATGCCCCATGGGCTCCCTGGGCTGCAGCTCGCGCCGCGAGGCAAAGAAAGGCCGCAGGGGCTGCTCTTACCATGGTGCCGATGCTGTATGTGGCGGCGGGGCCGATGGTGTGGTGGTACGGGTCTGCCGCTGCATACACTCTGCCGTAACTAGGAGCAAACACAGCAGCGGGTGTTAGCGACTGGGGTCGGGGTCCCAGTTCCCACTGCAGCCACCCCTGCCTGGCCACTGCTGAGCCTGGGAGACCCCTGGGATCACCCCACTTCTTCCCCCTGGGAGCCGCAGAGTCCCAGTTTGCAGGACACCCTCATCACCCCTGGCTCCATCCTCACCCCACAGGTGAGGTGCTGGAGTAGGAGCAATGCCCGCGGTGCACAGTGCTTACCTGTCGCTGTATGCTGCCGCCGCTGCCGCAGGCTGGGCGTATCTGTAGGCAGCATAACCCCCCTGCAGGAGAGAGACTGCATCAGGGACAGGCAGCACCCTCGGGGGGCTGGGCACCCCCAGACTCTGCCCGGGAGCAGCGGTGGGACCCCAGTGCCACCAGGCACACTCCGGCCTCATTCCCATTCCCCAGGGCCTTTCACAAACATTAACCTTAACAAATTAGTTTCCAGAGGAGAGAACATCACCTCCTGATGGCTTTAATGAGGTGGCACGTTCGAGAAACCCGTCAGCCGCCCGCCTGAAATACGGCCAACGGCTTCTTAAAGATGGAGGTGAAATGCCGGTGTAAGACAGTGCACCAGCACTCGCTGGGGCTGTAAATCCCTCAGTGCGGGGGCTGGCGGGGGGCTCAGGACCCTGCACGGTACCACCCTGCCTGCCACGTCCTGTCCCCATGCACCCGGACTCCTGCTGCCTTCCCAGGGGCTGGCAGGGGCAGAGCCCTCCCCAGAGCCGCCTGATGCTGCTTGCCCCTGGCCCTGGCCCAGACCCGGCCCGGCAGCACTTACATAGATCTCAGCTCCGTAGAACCCGTCCTGATAAACGACCCTGCAAATGAGGCAGAGGCATCAGAACCTGGGCGCTGCCACTGGCACAGAGGGATCGGGGGCACGTGGGGGAGCTGCTCCCAGCAGTGCCCACCCGGGCAGAGTGAGAGCACATCCCAGGCAGACACATGGGACAGGCCACAGGGATGGAGGAGCCCAGGGTATCATCGCTGCTGGCAGCAGCCACAGCCTGCCGTGGCTATGCCTAGCACAGTGGCTGTGTGCATGCCAGCAGAGTATCCCATTAAACCAACTGACGCTGCTGGAGTTACGGGCTCCTTTGGGGTGCAGGAGGCTGGTGAGCACATGGGTCACCCCAGGAGGCAGCAGCCTGGGGGGTTCACAGACCCTGAGGCCAGGCTGGTGCTGATGGAGCTGCTGCCCATCCCTGAAGGGAGAGCCCAGCAGTGCCAGCACTGATGGCAGCAGGGTTAGAGCAGCGGCAGCAAAGGGACCCCGCACCCCGAGGCGGGTGCCTGCAGGCGCCCGGTACTCACGCTCCGTAGGTGGGGATGGGTGGCGGCGGTGGTGCAGCACGGAACGTGTTGTAGACGGCGCGTCCTCGTCCCCGTAAGTGTGCCCCTCGATAGGCCACGGCCGTCCCCGTGGCGGGGTACGGGAACCCCGTTACTGCAGGAGGGAGGGAGGGAACAAATGTGGGCTTCCCGCAGCAGCTCCCCATGGCACGTGTTTGGGACCCCTGCCCTCACCACGGGGCATCCTGTGCCACAGCCTGACTCTGTACCCTGGGACATGGCCCCATGGGGATGTCGGGGTGAGGGGCTGGGGAACGCTCAGAGCAGTGGTGGGCTCGGACACGGCACAGAGCCAACGTTCAGGTGGATCTGCAGTGGGGTTGGCCCCAACCCACCATTACCTGCGTAGAACTCGGGGCCGTAGACTGCTCCCACCACAGGGTTCAGCTTCCAGCCTGTGGGCAGGGAGAGATGGTGAGGCCGGGGACACCCTCCCCGCAGTGCTCCCTCATCCCCAGCAGGGCTCTGGGGGACCACAGCTCCCACCCCTGTGGCCTCAGGGCCCAGGGTGCTGGGAGGCTGCACCCACCCTGGAGAGGAGCCGCAGCTCCTGCGCTCCTCGTGCTGGCTCTTACCATTGGTGTAGGGGTTGGCAACCTTCTTGTTGGTCATGACACGGGCCGTGGCATTGTTCACCTGCAGAGAGAGCGGATGGGGGCTCAGCGCCTGTGGGCAGTGGGACTGGCGAGGCCGCGGTCCGGTCCCGGGCCCGCGCTGCTGCACTTGGCGCGATGGTACTGCTTCGGGTGCTGGAGTGAAGGATGCACGGGGAGACATGGGGTGAGTCTGCCCCAGCTGCCCTGCCTGCTGCAGCACTGCCTGGACCCCCGGCCAGCCCAGGCCTCCTGCACCAAGCACAGGAAGGATGTGTTTGAGCTGCCCTGCTTCCCACCTCCTGGACGCAGCATCCCAGCTTCTGTGCAGCATCCTTCCCTCTCAGGTGCAGGGAGATGGGGACAGCACATGGAGCAGAGAGCTCATATCCTCCTTGCAGAGCTTAGGGTGGTTGCACGGTGGGCACGGGGCTGAGCTGGGGTCCACCAGACCCCTCTGTAACCGGCAAAACCCAGGCAGAGACCTGGCCAGTGCCCCAGCTCTCCCTGCACGTGAAGGCTTGGTTTAGCCAATTGCTCTTTGTGCCAAGTGAGGAGCTCCCTGCGGCGGGCACACATGCTCCTGTGCCACGCTCATGGACACATGCACGCGGCGGGCAATCCTCCCCTGGGTGACACCCAGAGCCACCCCAAAGCATCCCCTGCCCCAGGCAGGGCGCAGGGGACACAAGCACACGCAGGCATGGCACTAGCACACTTATCTGAGCACCTCAATCTTCCGGCCCTCTACGATGGTGCCATTCAGCTTCTCCCGTGCCCGGTCGGCATCTGTGCTAGTTTCAAAAGTTACAAACCCAAAACCCTGTGAGCAGAGGAGAAAAGGAGAAAGAAAGAGACAGAGAGAGACAGAGAGAGGGTGTGGGGACAGAGAGAGAGAGGGTGTGAATCAGGAGAGCTGGCGCAGGAGAGGAGGCTGCCGCAGTGCAGAGGTGGAGAGCCTGGGCTGGGGTCCCTGCAGGGTCCCTGCTGAGGCCCCAGCATCACCCATGAGCTGGGAAAAGAGTCTGGGAGAGGGGCACAGAAAGCAGGGAAGATACAACAGAGACATCCACACACAGAGGGGGTAGAGCGAGCCGAGCCCTCCCCTCCCTCCGGGGTTCGGGGTGCAGCATACACGCAGCCCCCCCAGCTGGCACGGGGCAGGGGGATGGGGCTGCCTGAGGTGGGTCCCCCCAGGGTGGGTACCCTGTGCCTGGATCCCACAGGGCAGGAGAGGAGGGGAGAGCGGGCACAGGAGCCAGGACCCTCCCCGGGCTCACCGTGGCAGCGCCGGCCGCGGGCAGCACCCACCTTGGAGCCCCGCTCATTGAAAATGATCTCCACGTCCAGGATCTTCCCAAATTGCTGCAAGCAGAGAGCAGAGGGTGAGCACTCGGAGCCCCCGGCCCTGCACTTCTGGCACAGCAGGGGCAGGGGTCTGCTGCCATGGGGACCGGAGCAGGAGACCAGGCCAGCGAACCCTCAGTGCCATGCCGGGGAGAGCCCCCAACCCTCCCAAGACTTTTCCAGGACTTGACTACCGTCCACAATCTCAGCCTGCACCGCTCTGAATCCTAGTGAGGGCTGGGAAACGGACAAGGGGAGGGCAACAAGGGCTCTGTATCCCCCATCTCCATGCACGGGACTTGATCCAGAAGCCCAGCTGTTTACTGGGGTTCAAATCCTGCATAGCAGCAGCCAGCAGTGCCACGAAAGCGCTTGGCACGCCTTGGGCTGGCAGGATGGGCCCTTGGGACAGGGACAATGCATGGTGCAGCACTGAGCAGAGAGCAGGGGACGGGGGTAGCTGGATGAGGCTGGACTCACCCCGAACATTTGCCGCAGGTCGGGGTCCCGGAATCGAAAGGGGATGTTGGAGACGTGTAACCTCTTGGGCTGCTGCTTGTCTGTGGTATCTGTGGAGTGTAGCTGCTGGCTGTCTGTCTGTGCCGCCTCATCTGTCTGCTGTGGGATACAGCTGGACGTCAGCTCCACGTCCCCAAAGCAGGGATCAGAACTCTCCTGTGCTTGGCCCCCAGAGACACCCTGGACCCTGTGGTCCCCAAGCTCTGAGCACCCCATGGGTCTCCCTGCAGCCTGGTGAGCTGGGAGGATGCCGGATGGGATCTGCCTGTGGGGAGTCAGGGAACGCCAGCCTGGGAACCAGCCACCAGCCCTGCCTGCACCTCCCCGACCCAGCCAGTGCTGTGAGTGGCAGCAGGGCATCGCCCACCCTGCGAACGGTGCAGAGACCTGGGGGGCTGAGCGCTGGGGGGGAGAAGCAGGGGGTGACCCATAACAGAGAGCATTGGGTGGCCTTACACCGGCCTCTCCTCTAGTCACCCCAGTGGCACTGGTGCCTGGGTGCTGTGACCACGGCACGTTGGGGTTCCGGGGGGTGGGGATGCCTGTGGTGGGGGTGCCAGACCCGCCCAGGGGCTGCTGTGGTCGGGTTGGGAACGTCTCAGCTCAGCGGTTTCCTGGCTGAGCTGCATTACAACCCCGTAATTGAAGCTATCTGGTGGGAAGGCAGCCAAGCAGGTAGATTACAAGCGATTAGGAATGCTGGGAGGGGCTGCGAGGCAGAGAGCCGGCAGACGCGGCACCCAGCCCGGCACCCGAGGGACCACGGCGGGGCTGGCACCACTGCCTTACCGGTACCGGCTGCGTCCCGGCTATGGACTGTGTGCTGGCGTCGGTGCCCGGCTGCTCGGCGTGGCTCTGTGCTGGTGTGTAGAGGGTCATGGCGTGCTCCGGTACTGTGCTTTGCCCCGAGTAGTCCGGCGTGGGGTGCGGGTGCGGCGGCGCGAACTCTGCGGGGATCCCGTTCTGGGGGGGCGGGGGGTACTGGGCCGGGGGGTAGGGCTGAGCCATTGCGTCCGGCGGAGCCGTGGCGTCCTGGTTACCCTGCCAAGACAGCGGCACCGGCCCCTTACCCGCTGCTGTCCCTGGGGTGCCACCTGCCGGGGGGGGTCCTGCTCCCGCAGCCAGCCCAGGCTACCCCAGCCCACGATGCCCCAGCCTTTGGTGTCCTCCCCAAGCCTCGGGCTGTCTCTGTGCCGCAGCAGCTATTGGGTCTCATTGCCACAGCTGAGCCCCCATCCTCTCCTGCTCCAGGGTCCTGCCTGCCCCGTGCACTGGGCTCGGGCAGCAGGAGGACAGAGCCTCCCTCCACAGGGCTTAAGTAGGGGAGCCCACACATCACCCTCTCCTCTGGGAAGGAAACCAGGACAGTCCTTGCTTTGGAGTCCAGCACGAGGACAAGCAAAGCCAGGCCAAGGCTGGCAACATCACTCTGGAAGGCTGCAGAGCACTAGCACCCACCGGCAGCAAACCCAATATCCTGGTGATGGTGGTAGCATCAGAGGGGACTAGGGTCGGAGGGAGGGAACCAGGGAGGATGCCGATGACCTCTTGGCAAACACAGGCAGGGATCAATTAACTGCTAATTATTTAATTAGGCCCTTTGCTCTAACACAGCTGGCTCGGCTGCCCTGGTCAAACAGGGTGAGCTGCACTCATGCCATGGGGTGAGGGCTGCCCATTGCCTGCTGGGGTACAGCGGGGGGGCTGCCAGCCTGTGCCTCACACCCACCATCCATCCATCCTCACAGCAGGCACCCAAGGGCTCCCCTCCCTTGCACACGTGTGTGCTGCACCCGCTGCCACACACAAACACCCTCTGCGGAACACGGCAGCAGCCCCTCGGATGCTTTACTGCCTCCATGGCAGCCTCTCACCCATGAAATACATCTGTGGCTCAGCCTGTGCTGACAAGCTCCTTAATTGTGTGTGTGGCCGATTTATGGAGCACAAGGACATTGGGGGCAGAGGGGGGAGCACTGCCAGGCACCGCTGCAGCCGGCAGGGCCATCGCACCTGCAAGGGAGGCAGCAGAGCCCACACTGGGGCCACGCTGGGGACCACATGTGAACCCAGTGTGAACAACCCTGCTACAGATCTGCAAGTCACTGGCAGACTCCTGCCAGCCCTGTCCGTGCTGACTCAGCTGCTTGGGGACGCGCCAGCCAGATGCTCCTGCCAGCACGGCTGGGGGTGCTGGTGCTGCCGATGCTGTAGGAACCCCATCCCCGGTGCTGCCGTGACCCAGGGCAATGCTGTTGTCTGCACCGCGGTGTGAACCCACCTTGCAGGCTGGAGGGTTCCATCCTGCACCCAGCCTGGCCCTGGCGCCTGAGCCTGCTCCTGGGAGTGGGCAGACACTGAGCTCCCAGTCACACTCCCGGCGCCTGACCCTAGCCTCCTGCATGGATGGAGCCAGGAGCAGCCTGCAGCGCTCCTGCATGCTCCACTCTAGGTGGACACTCATCCTCTTTATCACCATAGCCGGGACCAACCACCATAGCAGCAGGAATGGGCACTGATGCCCAGCAGGAAGAGCCAGCAGGCAGGGGGACGCAGATGGGTGCTGGGCAGGGACTGTCCCCACCCACCCAGGCCTTAGTCCCTGCTGGCTCCTTGCCATCCTGCCCCGACAGCCACGCTCAATATCTCTTATTAATTGGGGCTGTCGCAGTGCTTGTCTGCCCAAGCATTATTTCATTCAGGGACCATTAGGTTCCCCTGTTCTGCTGCTTGCTGTCGCTGGGGCTGCTGGTGCTGCAGAGGCACAGAACTATGGCTCCTGCTGCCTCCCTCTGCCGGTGCTCCCCGTCCATCTCCGGGGCTGCTGGGCTGGGTGGCAGGGGTTGACAGGTATGAGGAGGGGATGGCGACAGGTTTGGCTGTGCAATACCCACTGAAATGACAGGGAACGGGCTGCTGCTCGCTCTGCACCCTGCACTGCCTGTGTCCTCCCCTCCTGCTGAGGATCCCAGGGACAGGGAGCCCCATCCATCCAGCCGCTCCCCAGACCCAGCCCTGGAGTGCGGAGCTGGCAGCACCCTGAGGTCCCCTGTATGGCGTCCCCTATCCCCTGCTCACAGCTCAGCACCACACCACCAGCCCTGCGCAGCGGCTGGCGCAGCAGGTAAGGGGTAGATATCATCTTTAGCTGATTAAATGTCCCTCATTAACGAGTTTCTTTAATTAATGAAGTTTTTGTGTTTGCTCCACTTGCTTTCTCCTCACTGCACTCTGCCTCCTCAGCACAATCCAGGCCATTTCCTTTCAAGTCATTTGGCGCGTGGGGCCAGTTCCTGCCGACGCCGCACTTTGGTGATTGTGCCTGTCAGCTTGGGGCTGCCAGCGCCATTCCAACGTTTGCTCCTTCTTAAGAAAACAAGGCACCTGCAGCCCCGTGTCTGAGCAACCAGCAAAGCACAGAGCACCTGCGCTAACGACAGGGCACCCGCTGGCCCCGGCACCCTGCCCTGAGCCAGCACAGCTCACCCACGATGGGCATCCTGCCGGCACAGGACAAAAGAGCAGGGTGCGACCTCCCCTGGGTTATCAACCACTCATGAGCCACTGTCACCTCCTGCCACCCACCTCTGGCCATAGACAGGCAATGTGGTGGCCCCATGGCCCCCAAGGCAAGCCAGCGAGCCATGCTGTGCTCACCCAGTGCTGCTGTTGCAGGGGTGGCACTGCATGGTGCCAGCACAGCACCGCTCACTATGGCACATATATAGCCTGGCTGGAAGCTACTGTGCTGAGCCCTGGAGCAGTGGGGACGGGGCACAACCCTGTCACCACACACCTCCCCACTGCCAGCGCAAAGAGAGTCCCCGAGAGCAGCCCACACCGAGGAGCCTGCAGCCATGCGTGTCCGAGCAGCAAAGGAACACGGATTCAGCCCAGCGCTGGTCCCTAATGCCTCCCACTGGGAACCAGCCATGTCCCAAGGGGTGCAGCACGGAGCTGGGGCCCTGACCCCATCACAGCATCCAAGGAGGACACCAAGATGCTCCTCCAAGCTGCACAGCCTCAGCACATCCTGCAGGGTGGCTGCTTGCTGCTGCAACAGGTCTGCAGCACGGCGCTATGGTGGGACCCACTGTGCCTGCAGCAGGACCCAGAGCTGTGACAGGGAGGCTGATGGGAGCATCCACCCTGGCGCTCGCTGCCTTGGAGAAGGGCAATGCAGCAGTGCCATGTGGCACAGATGGGCTTGGCAAAGCCCTGGCAGCGGCAGGAGGGTCCTCACATGGCCACGCATGCCCCCCGGCACCCAGGGACCACGGGCCATGCCCAGCACAGCTCATCCGCGTGACAGCCACAACGTCCCCGCTTCGATCCAGCCGCTTGCTCATGCTAATGACTATCAACATGAAACAGGGGCCGTGAAGGGGAAGAAAATTACTCCCTGAAAAGGAATTGACTGATCCCCGTCATTTCTCAAGGAATCACTGACCTGTGAATATTTCATTACCCAAAATGCCGCGCCATCCATACAAAGCAGTGCCTGGCCCCCAGCAGGCTCCAGCCACAGAGCCCCAGGCTGCAGCATAGGGTCGGGGCGCTCGCGTTGGGGGCCTCTGGATTCCAGGAGGTACAAGCCCTGTGTGCCACAGGGGACAGCAGCAGTTGCTTCTCCTCTCCTCCTCTCCAGAACGGGGCCATTGCAGCCCCATGGAACTGGGGAGGGACAATGGGGGAATCGCCCCCGCCGGAAGGAGCCGTAAAGGGAGGTGAGGAGCTGCGGAGGCCGGAGGTAGCAGCCGCTGTGCTTAATGTCTTCATTAAGGAGGAGGCAGGGAGGGGTGGGAGCTTGCTAATGGCATCTGCCAGTGATGCTCAAGTGGGAAACTCTGCAAAGAGCAGCAGGGCTGGAGAGAACAGGCAGGACCCGAGGGGCAGGACTGATGGTGCAAGAGGAGGAGGAACTGGGGGAAGGCAGGGCAGCCTGCTAGCATGGGAAAAAGACCATTTGCTGGGCTGCCACACACTGTCCCAGCACCTTCTGCCCCCTTTTCCTTGCTGCTCCTGTCCCCCAGCAGAGCTCAGTGGCCAGTGCACTGCCAGGGCTGGACACTGCTTCCCTCTACCTGCAGGAGCCCAGGAGGACCTGGTGGCCATGCAAAGGCCGTCAGGAGCAGAGGTGAGATGCCAGCCCAGGCAGCAGGCACAGCCCATGTCCCATTGTCACCTCCCACGTGGGGCCAGGGGGGAGCAGGGTCCGGTCCCAGCTTCCGGCTCCACCAGCTGGAAACTTCGAAGCTGAGGCCACATGAAATATTCATGAAGTAAATGGTGCAATTTCATCTGCATTCAGCCAACTTCATGTATATTTCAGAGTATTATGAAATGATAATGTTGTGTAACCGAGGCGAGACGGGGGTGCTGGGGGGGCTCCCAGCCACCCCCACGTGCTCACGGCTGACACGGTGCAGGTACCTGTGACGGAGACGGGACAGGATCAGGCCCGCAGCCAGCGGGAGGACACACAGCGCTGCTCTATCCCAGCACTGCCAGCGGTGCCAGGGCTCACCCACAGCAGCTCCCAGCCCCGAGCACACGCTGCTGATGGCACAGCCAGGCCACCCCTGCCACAGCTCTTCTCCCCGCAGCAGCGCAGCCCTGCTGTGCACAGTGCTGGCCAGGGTTCCCAGCAACGCTTGGTTCCCATAGGCCACGAAACGGTTTGGGATGGGCGGACACACGAGGCACAAGCTCAGCTGCAAAGCAAAGGGATGGCAACGGGCTGGAGAGGACCCAAATCCTCACAGCATCTGCCTGAGCTACCTGCTCCTGCTGAGCCCTGCAGTCACCAGAGTCACCGCCATGCACTGCACGGCTCTGTGCATCAGGGTGACCAAAAGCCACACCAGAGACTGGCCTGTCTGCTGCTGCCAGCGGTGCCAGGAGGCAGCCACCGTCACCTCACCTCTGCCAGGAGCTGGGGGCACTGGAGAGCCCTGGCAAGGGCCGCATCCACCAGCCTCATGCTTCAGCCGTGGGCATGACACCAGCTCCAGCCGCATGCGTGCATCCTGCTCCACAAC